TCCTTAGTCTTGTTGGTGTTCAGGACAAGATTGTTATCTGAACACCACCTTGTCAGGTGCTGGATCTCCTCTCTGTAGTGAGTCTCATCATTGTCTGAGATGAGACCCACTACGGTGGTGTTGTCTGTGAACTTCACTACTGTGTTTGTGGGGTGAATGGCATCACAGTCATGGGTAAACAGAGTGAAGAGAACTGGGCTGAGCACACAGCCCTGTGGTATGCCTGTGTTCAGGACCAGTGTGGATGATGTGCAGCTTCCGATTCTCACCACTTGAGGCCTGTTAGTGAGGAAGTCCTTAATCCAGTGACACATCATTGCAGGCATTCCCAGATTGTGCAGTTTCAGTCTGGGAATGCCTGCAATGATGTGTCATTGGATTAATGTACGCGTTATCAGTTATGCTAGCTTTGGACTGCAGCTTTGGCATCCGTATTTGTTGCTAGGAAACAGGATGTGAATGGAGGGGCAAAACATGGTTAGGAGCGGCTCATGGTGTGAAGCCAGCATGAATCGATTGCCCCCTGGTGGCTGATTGCAGTATAAGGTAATAAACCCAGGCCTCGTTAGCAGATGGGACATGAGCCAAACTAAGGATTAAAGTTTAAATCAAATAAATGTGATTTTTTGTCATTTTAGGTAAGTATTGTTACACTAATTTGTGTACAAGTGGTATGACGATGTAAAAAACGGGTGTATTTTGACAGCCTTGAGTTGGCCGCCTGATACGGCGGCTCCACCTCTGGTCACTACTGCACAGAATTTGGGTACTAAATTCATAAAAGAAACAAGATGGCCGCCAACATATTCTTGATGTTTTGGATTCAGTTTTGCACAGTGGCAGTCCATCTTTACATACAGTGATTGGTCTCACTAGACCCTTAAATAGTACTTTAATAGACTTTAATAACATTTTCCCTGTGATTGACTCCTTTAGGATCTTTGGCTTCCCCAAACACTACACGGATGTGAACAACATGGGCCGGATGCAAAGACAGAAAGTCCTGGGTCGCTCCTGGAGTGTCCCCGTAATTCGTCACCTCTTCGCCCCACTGAAGGATTATTTTGAATGTGAATGACGACTGTGAAGTGAATCTTCAGTGGTAAACCTACTGCCTTATCCTGCCCTGCAGTAACAAGTAGTTCAAATGCTCCAGTGTTTTTCTGAAAGATGTAGTTTAGTACCATTTTGATTGTTAGAAGTGTTTGCTCATGAGCTCTTTTAATCTCGTGTGTTGTCAGTCATCCATGATCCACTATCACCAGCAGGCCCAAACATTTAGCTTTTTTTCAGGTTTTCTCTGATAAATGATGGTGCTGTCATCAAACAATAATGTTACTCAGTATATAAGCTTGTATCATGAAGCGAGATAGACCGTTATTCAGCCGTCTTTGGGTTTAACTCAGGTTTTTTTTGTATCATAATCGTAACTGATGCTGCACAATAACCTAATCCGGAGCAGGTTAACTTCAGAAGATCAGCTCCAAACGTGCCAACAGCCCAGCCACTGACCGCTTAGATCACTGGAATCAGGGAGTTCTGACACTGAAGGCACAAGAAATAATGTTGCAGTTGAGATGTCGGTAGAGCCTGCCATGATAATTATGTCAGAGAGAGAACCAACCATTTTCATCTCTCTGTTTTTAGCAGACAAGCTCTAAAGCCCCATTGTACACGACCAGCTGTGGAGCACGTGACAGACAGATGCAGTTAGCGATGAGCATTTAGCAACTACAGAGCCAGGTGTTCCTACCAGGTCACCCGTGTTAGCCTCAGTGAAGCCAGGTAACCCAAAGACAGCTGGTGAACTCTCTGTGATACAGGCCTCAGGTCTCTACCTCAACACTGATTTATCAGTTAAAAATCTGCAGTTACACTTTTTAATCTTTCTAATTTATGGAAAATGTAAACTTCATGTTTTTGATATTGTTTTATTGCATATTCTTACCAGGGATTTTCTAATCATGTTCACAATTAGCTATGATGAATTTTATTTTTACTTCCTATAAGTTAACCAACGAACCAGTTTTTTACTCTGACATTTGATGCATTTTTCTCTCACTGTGGTGCACCAGTGATTTTGTCCAGCTTGACCTCACTGGGTTTGCATTTGTGCTAACATTTGATCTGTTTTAAGGACCGTTATTTATACAAGACCAAAAATATTTGGTGGATACTCACTGAGAACAAGCTGTTACCATCAGTTTTTCAACTGCAGCAGCTTTGAATATCACTGTAGTCAGATAGTGACTACATATCATGATGTAATGTGTTCTCTTATGAATGACACATGTAACCTCAAGCACCCTAACAACGGTTTTTTACCTTCGATCCCTTAAATAACCAAGTGTGGACACTGTAAACTTGACCACTAGACGTTCTGGCTTGAAAAAGTCAAAGCACATGACTTTGTTAAAGTACAAACTGCAAAAGGCTTTTATTATTGTGTTTGTTTAGTTTAAGACTAAAAAAGGCAGCAAATCTTCACAAGTGAAAAGCTGGGGGATGTTTGATATTTTTACTTATAAATAACTTCAGCGATTAATCAATTATCAGTATAGTTTTATTTATCTGTCGATTGACTAATCATTGCAGAAATTACTGAGACAAAGCATTCAATATTAAATAAGTTAAATTAGTAAAACAGTATGAAATACTTAACCACACTATAGACCAAATATGGAATCAAATCATGAAAATACTGTGTGTTTGAGCGGTGGGATCGTCGTCGTTTCATCCTGCTTTTTCTTTCCTGTCATGTTTATTGAATTGCAGTATTTTTTTTATTGCAGAATACACAGTTTTACATCATAATGACCCTGCATATCACAGTGGTCTGTCAGTCAGGATGAACATGATAACAGACACTATCAGCTATGTTATAGATTACCCACTCATCCAGATCAAAGCAACAACCAGTCACACAACTAGTTGTATGTCTATCTTGGTTAACACACACCAGTCTTGTGATTAAATCAATCAGTTATTAGGAAAATTGTGAAATAAATAGGGATAGTCTGAATTACAGCTAATGATTCTGATGCAATCCTGTGCAACATTGTGAAAATAAATAGAAATGACTTGTTTTGTTTCTTGTTGTGAAAAGAAACAGGATGAAACAGTATCTCATAATGAAAGTTTGAAAGCTTTAATGGATCATTTCACAACGTCATGGTTATATATATATACAGTGGGGCGAATAAGTATTTGATACACTGCCAAGTTTTCCCACTTACAAAGAATGGACAGATCTGTAATTTTCATCGTAGGTACACCTCAACTGTGAGAGACAGAAT